AGCATTTCGTCCAAAACACTGAAAAACCTGACACTTCAGCCTAGGCGGAGAGGTCAGAAGGGCGTGTGTCAGCCGGTTTTCAGAAAGAAGTGTGTACCTGATAGTGCAACGGATTGTTACATAGCCAGGACTGAAATGCGTACATACATACCTTGCTGGAAGAGTCACCAAAAATGCTCGAGAGGACCTCCGAGAGTCTATTGACTTCTGGTTGACTAAAACGGAGGAAAAGAAGGAGAATGGCAGGAGCATCAACAGGCAAAAGTCCATCAGGACCATAAACAGCACAGGTATTACCAGGTGTGGATTAGAACAAACAAGAACCTCCCCTGCGTGGGAAGTCGGTGTCAAAGGCGAAGAAAATTCTGCCAGTAGGCACTGTTGGATTTGACGGCATTCTGTGGTATTTGAGATCGTGGCGGACAGCCACTAATGCTGTCCGGCTTCCTTGCTCAATGTCCATTGTCGCAAGGTCACGCAACTTCGCAGGCAGTCCCTTCCGGCTCGCTGACCTGAAGACCCCTGACCGCCTTACACTCGCGCATGTCCAAATAACCGCGGCTACCAAACGGCCACCCCTTGGGCAACGCAACACATCAATTGGACACCACTGGCTCCACAATCATATAAAGCAGCTGCCACCACTGCCTCACTCTCCCTGACTTTGCTAGTGGCAGAGAGAGCAACTCAGGGTTCCGTGCACAATAAATCTCTTATTCTGGTGACTTCTGTGTTTTCCTGCAACCCGGGATTTGGTCCGATGATCGTAGAGCTCCGAGTACAGCCACTACAAGCTCATGACTGTACCGAAGAGAGGAGGCACTCTTTTCTGGTTGTAATGTTTGGCATGCTACACTTTCACGTGTCTTACCCGCGTCACTTCTTTCAGCGCGGACTTTATTTTTTTAAAAGAAGCCTCGCAGTGGTAGATGCTACGTAGACAGCACATGACACAGCAATCAGTGGGTGCAGGAAACCACAAAAAGCGACAGTAAAATCAACGCATGCATTTGGACGTAGGCCAGCAAGATCAGACTTGTCCATGTACTCGTACCAGAGTTCAAACGGTGAGGATTACTTGTATGGCCGCTTAAACAGGACAAGGAAATTGGAACGCCAGCTTGAATTGCCTACCACAGCATACGCCACTGTGTTCTGTGCGTTGATTGATTACTTCGTGTAGGTTTTTTTTATTATTATACGATTAAGCAAATCTGCCAAACCCCCTTAACAATTAATTGAGCCTAGTAGTCATTCTGGTGGATTCTAGATGATTGCTTAGGAAATCCCTCCTGGACAGTCAGCTTACTGTGTCGTAATGGTGGATTCCATACAAACAGTAAGTTAGGCGGGTAAAATCGATCCAAGTGTGATTAAATTCACGGCGCACGGTGAGCCTCGTAGCTCAGTGACAGAACGTTGGCTGCGCAAAAGCCTTCCGTGCTGTGTGGGTTCGACTCCCACTGAGGCCGCGAGTTTTTTCACAATTGGGTCAACTAAATATTAGACCATTGTAGAATTATTATTATTCCTTTACTTATTTTATTTATAAATGTTGATGAATAATATTTCATAGCTTCTTTTATTGTGTAATATCAGTTAACTGGTTGGAGGAAACACCCAAATATCAAATGGCATCAAATGCAACCGAAGTAAAAATTACATAGCCCAACATCTACCCGCTGTTCTTAAGGACTACGTATTCTCCTTAATAATAAGAAAACCACATTCACGCCTTGCGTAGCTTGACTTCCCCCGATGTCCTCTTCTTTTTTGTCTTAGCCCTTTCACTAAGCCTAACGTAAAACTAAACTGTACCCTTAATTTTAACCCTAGCCCTAATATAAAAATAAGTTCTGCAATTAACATGAACTCACACCTTAGCTCTTAACATAATCCTGACCCTAACCGCAACCCTGGCCTTGACTCCAAACTCTAAATCTAACTCCGTCACCTTCATCCTGAACCTAATTTCTCCGGAATTTGGAGCAAAGCCGCGTGTATTGTGGACGCTTCCTGTTCTCAGATCCTCTTTAGACGGCCATAAAAGTCATTCTAACTGGTCAAAATATCGAGGACGCAGAAGCCTGTATGTAGCTTCTCATTTCTAACCAGTATCCCTTGTGGGGTCTGAGCAGGGTTGAGTTCTCGCAGACTAGGACTAGCCAACTGCCCCCATCTAGCATACTTCCAACGAATGATGATGCATTAGAGTAAATTCCTGCTCTCTCTCCAACTCGGTCATTTCAGGACTATCTATAAAGTTTTTAGAGTCGGGAGTGGCTAATAACGCCATATTTGGTGCTATCGACCAGCCAGAAATCTGAAAGAGGAAAACTTGGGCGAAACTCCGATCAGGCGTCACCCAATAAAACAATGACAGCAGTGTATAGAATAGCAGAGAGTGCGGGCTTACCTGAGCTGTTCTCCGGAGCGTAGGAAGTTCTGCAGATTCACGAGGCCGTCCTTCTTCTCCGCCCATTGTGGACTTCGGAGGAGGGTGATGATGTCATTAATGCCCTAGAGGTGGTGACGGTGGGCACGGTTAATTGACTTGACAGTGAGGAAGGTGTTAACAACGAGGCAAGACAACAACGTGCGTCAGGACATGTGACCACTTGTGTGCGTCGTCGGTGCGACTGGTGCATGCACGTGTCAGTAAAAAGTAGGGTGCAGAAAAAAACAGGGGGGAAAGACGAGGAGAAGAGGTTCTCCAGACCGGTCCACATTACTAACCTGCACCGAACGAGGCACGGAATAGCGCTGTAAAATCAGGGAAATGCACAAAAGAGTCCGTGTTTGAAAGGCAAGCTCACACTAGCCTCGGTGGTAATGCCGCGTAAACCTCGGCATGTGAAAACTTAGACAATTGGAAAAGGGTATCGTGTGGGGGGGATACCCCATAGATGGTATCCGGCTCCATCCAAGATTAGAAAGGGGCTATAAAACGAGGCGCCGGACAGTCGATGCGTGAAAGCGGCTTTCGAATTTGAGCCACCCATTTTTTTGCTTTCCATTCACGTGGGAA